TGTTAAATTGAAACCGCCGCCCTTTACATTATTAACTCGACACAATGCTCTTTGAACTCGCAAAGGTAAATATTTGTTGCTGTTGTTGTTGCTAGAGTCAAATGCTCGTTCGTTTTCCAGGTCCCTTTTACCAAAATGCCGCCTACTTCGTGGCACGAACCCCACACTATTGTCGGATAAATAAGTCGGAAAAGGACGTAATTTGTGTAAAATTGGAGCTTTTGTCCTCACTTAGCAGCGGATATGAACATCCACAGTTTTCAATTTTGAAGAATCCGGATAAACAAATTCAACATAAAACCACTTATAGTCCAGAAAACGATAAATGGTCACAAGCGTTTGTTGGTTTTTTGAACAAGTGAAAAAAAATGAGTCCTACGTTTCAACACGAAGTATCATTCAAATGCATTATAAACAAAGGGTTATTATAAAGTTTATCTGTAATAGCAACAAATAACAGGACTTGATTTTTCTTCTCATTGTGTGAAAATTCTGAAATAATTTCCAAAAAGAAGCAGCAATTCAAGAAATTTGTGAAATCAGAAAAGGAAGAGGACACAAGATGAGATGAGAACGAAGGGAGTAGACTAGGGATCGGCAACCTATTTTGGCCGCTTGTCAAAATCAATGCAAGTATTAAAACAGCATTTTAGTTAATAATAAGATATATTTTATTAAGAAAATAATTACAAACATAGTTGAATAAACTTTCTTTACGATACCAATGGCTCCCCTGATGTTGAACTTGTGATGTCAATTTAGTCAAGTCTGGTTTATAGTTAGTAGTTTTAAGTTGAACAAAAGCATCTGAATTTTCAGTAGTTAACCTGCTTCTGTTTTTGTTTAAAATAATTTTTTTTTGTGAAAATATTTGCTCACATTTATAAGTGGACCCGCATGTGGACAATTTTTTAAAATAATGAAAACCATGTAGAAAGTGATGCCCAACATGTTGAAATTATGCTTTATGATAAATGTAAACATTTCTCCATATTTCTTAAGGCCTTGAAACCGACTTTCATATTCACTTTTAATGGCCCAAATCCAACTTTCGAACATATTTAGATTGCGATATTATCTTTTTAATGTTCTGTTTTTAACAAAAGAAAGAAATGAATTGTTTTAGTTTCAAATAATATCAATTTTGAAGTAAAACTCTTCCATTCCATTTTCAAAATTGTGTGGTTATTTCCTTGGGGTTGTAGTTTGAAATCATGTATGTTAAGAACAAAAGTCTTAAAAAACCATTGTTCATCAATGAGTTCGAGATCATTTTCACCGATCTACAAATCTATTAAGAACTTTGCCTCAAATTAACCAGAAGGTAATAACAAATCTTCATATTACGATTCAATTTCCTCCAAAAAAGCTTTAATACGCCTGTGTATTAATGCTGATCGCGTTATTATTATGTTTACGATCTTAATAACTTATTCCATCATATCCTTAAGTTGTTATGAAGATGCCTTTGCAAATAAATTTTCTTCATATATGATATAATGAAACGATAAAAGTGAACGGCAGTCCATTTTCCATTAGTTTTACAAATTAAACAGTTTTTCCTCTCATACTTTGAGCACCGCGACGTTGTTCTGTTCTAGCTGATTCTCTCAATTATTTGTTTTTTATTTGTGAATGCATTGAAGAAGTGTTCGAAACAGTTTACGAATGCGATTTCCAAAAACTCGCAGTCTGTAAATGGTTTTTCGTTGGTACCAATGCTAAGAGCTGCAACAAAGCTGGCAAACGTAGCCTGATTGTTGTCATTTAACTCACATCTTTATTATTTGGAGAAAAGTGTCGCCGGCGGTAATTATATTTGTACATAAAGTACATATCCGTTACGATTTACCGCTTTCGATACACCTATACTTTTCTGTGCACACATCTTGAATTTTTTCCTTTTTGTTTGTTCATTGCATTTTTTTTAATGTTAATATTTATTTCACTAGGTCACACTTTGCAACAAAAATTTTGTGGGAAAAAAATTATATATCTATACTTTAATTTCGAAAACAAAGTGAGTCACTTGAAATAACCAAATGCACGGGCATATGTTGCCGACACCTGGAGTAGACTATCAGTTTAGAACAGTTTGCTTGGAAAAAAAAGCTAACACAGTGAAAACCAAAAAAGCTAAGTAATACATAGGACTCCAAAATGTTGAATGCTCCGAAACACTTCTTACTATACTGCAATATAATTTAATTAAAGAAGCTGGGTTCTTAAAACCATGACTAGCCTCTACATTGCACTCGAACAACAATTTAGAGTTGGGAATAACTCCTAAGTCTTTAACAACTTTAAAACGATTTAATTGTATATTGTTGAACTTTAAATTCAAATTAGGATGCTTCGAGAGAGCTCAGAAAAGACTATGTAGTGACATTTATCAATAATTCAGTGGAGTCGATTCAGAGTGCAGTACTCAGAATATCTGTTTAATGATAGTAGAAATCTTCAGGTCATCAGCGTACTGTGAGAATCCAGAAAAGAAGTTCCTATATCATTTAACCCTTCGGAGCAGCAGAAGTTTCATTCAAGCAAGCCGATCTTATTCTATTAGTTGCAACATACACGTTTCTATCAAGCAAATAAAGGTCTAGAAGCCTCCCCTGCAATATGAGTCTGTTAAACAACGCTGACATCTCTACCATTAACCATTCTCCATAACAGACCGACCGTTGTAGAAATCATGTTGGTTGCTGTCAACATACAATGTTTCAAAATATTTTTTGCAGGATGTGATATCTGTTTTAGCTATACATTTAATAATTTTTTTAAGAAAAAAAAACTGAACAGGACTTGCTTGAATTTCCCCAGTAGACAATACCAAACGTATCAAAAATATAGTAACTTAAGAGTATTGTACGACATATTATATAACATATTATACAACATTATTTAGTAAAAAATCTTTTTACTTGGCTACAGTTATAACGCCCCTTAGCGATATAGTTATGAACTCGAAAATTATTTCCAGTATTTTTTTTGGTCAGTTTAATCGTTACCTTTTTACCACTACCGCGTTTATTTGCCCACCATGTACGTATGTCAGAGGTACATATTTGTTAAAAGTAGTCAATAAACTAAGGCTGACATCCCTTAATAATAATAATAGATTTCCAGATCTTGTCTTTAGGTTTTTCTAGTTTAGAAGCAAAGAAGACAAAGGTGAGTCTTTTAACAGCTCTCACTTAGCTGTCAAAAATTGGAATAAGTAAAAGACTCGAAAATATACCGATTTCCACGTGGTTGATGACTTTTTCCACAATTTTTCGAAAATGCCTACCTGGTTGGGTTTCTTACTTGGGTAAGAGTTGAAGTTAAAAATTCGGAATCAACGAGCGAAAAAAAAAAACAAAAATAAGGTTACAAAAGCCCGTCATGTTTTCAATGTACTATTAGCTAATATTCTCTATAACCTGGAGTATATCTATCATCCACATTACGAATCAAAACACAAAATCAAGCTCCGCGCCATAAAAGGGGGTTAACGACATCCAAATAAGTCGGTAATTTATCATTCACCCCGTTTTGGCACCGTCACCTTCTCCCCTTCCCACCCTCAGCCCCGTTTTAATCAGATTAAACTCTATTTTAACGAATTAGTTGTGTTATCAATATAATTCCGATTTCCCTCGGATTCTCATTAATCTGAAAAGTTTCGCATCGAGGCCGAAATTAAACGTCATTAGCATAAGTGCCACCCCTATCAATCGCTTTAAAAGAGACCCACGAACTCTGGACACGTGTATTTTCTTTTTTAATTATTCTAACCACCGGGCTTTCCTTGAGTGGCGTGATCGACCCTTGTATGCGTGATTAAGTATAACTAGTATCGTAAATAATCCATAAAAAAGACATTAACGAACGTTGTAAATCTAAACGAGGGGGTCCAATTCGAAAATTGTGCCCCGTAAATTATATACAATCGCTACAAACGAAATTTATGCTCAAAAGAATGGCGGCTTGTTAACGTCACGTCCCATGTTGCATTGCGTTGAATCTACAAACACTGTAAATCGCATTAAACTTGCAAGATAAACAAAAAACTGATTAGAATGTTCTGGATCCACAAATGAGTCGTTGAATGGCAAAAGTCTCGAGTCCTTGGGGACTTTAAGTATAACGGTGACGACGGAGGTTGTTACCACCCAATTGTTTCCCGCATTTTATCATTAAATTTCCGTAAATTCGGAGGAAAAATCTGACCCCTAGATAAATAAATAAAAGGAATGGTAATAGCTATCTGGAAAACCATTTCGGAAGCTTTGGAGAGCTTAAATAATGTAGCCCTGGGGACGACTTGAACTTTATCGAATTTTACAAAATATAAACAGATGCACAATCAATTAAATTAGAAAGCTATCTAAGCTATGAGGTAACTTACCGATAGCAGTAAACCAACATAAAGGTTCGTAAGTATCCTTAATAACATTTATAATATTTATAAGCTTTTTTATTTCTAAAAATAGAGGAAACACTCTTGACGTAAATATACAAGTAGAATAATTACACAACGTAAAGATATAAGCAGTAAATTTTAAAAATATGTGCGACTTTTTTATGAAAAACAAATTTTATAAGTAATATAATTCCAGTTATTTTTTATCCGTTCGCAAATTATAAATGCGTGGTACTCCAAAGTTTTGAGTAGCACTCAAATTCGACCCGTGGGTTAATACTCTCTCAGAAGTTACAGCGAGTTGTAATATTGTGCTTTCTTTTCATTTCATAAACAACATTTCTAAAGAGGAGAATTGACCCTAACACCACCGCTTTGTGAACGAATGCAGGTGTGGTATTATATTGTTGACTACAAGTTATTGACTGAAAAATTGTGCTTAGAGATACATTGCTATTAAATGCAAAAACGATAAAATACAGAATAAGAGTAATTTGCAGTTTTTATTACAAAAACTGTTGAAAAAACTCCGTGGGGTAACAACATCCGTTGTCGCCCGGTATACCAGAGTCCTCGAACATACAAGACTTACGTGTTAAATACTGGATGTAAGGAAAATCCGAATAGTTACCTGTAATACGAAGTATGGATTAAATAACTAACTTGTGAATGAACTCGCAGACATACCAACAGCAGGCCGACGCAATAGTATTGATAAAATTTGATAAAACATATCGTTTATGTAAAAATAAGGGGCTACTGCTCTTCTCTCAGATAAACTCATAAAACCAAACAATTATTACAACATTTAATTTCTTCTTTTTCAAGTTCTTACCGTTGATATAAATTTTCGGTATAAACGGAAGTACCGATATCCTTAAAATATCCCAATAGACTTTAGTATAATACAAAAAAATAAAATTATGAGTAATTATAGTTTTTCAATAACAAATCCACAGAGTTCACAGCGGGATTATCAACCAAAAAGTCGCTTCTTCGCGTCAAAAGTTTGTTTTCAAATTTGAACTACAACTTTTCAAACTACCTAATTATATGATTGTTACAAATGCAGAGCGTTTTAGATTTTTCTGGACAGGAACAGACATGCGAAATTAAACATTGAAGTTTGAGGTAGTTAGGAAGTTTTTAAGCGAGCAATATTTTATAATTTTGTAAATTTACTCGATTATTGAAAGTGAATGCCCTATATATCACTTAATAGTTAAATTGGTCATTAAAAGACAATTTCAACGACATACAATAATAGAGTTATAAAATAACCGTTTCGAAATCACTGATCACCATATTGATTGAATAACTAATCTTATTGCCAAAAATGAAAAATATGAAACTAGTATTCTATGCTGTTGGACATTGCTTATTAGTATTGGTAAACAAATAAAGCAAAACTAAATAATTTTGATATATTTATAAGCAATTGACAGGTGACCAATTTCAACTCTTAGAAGTCATTAAAATTGTCTCTTAATGCTCAAGGCAATATAGCATATTATAGAATAAGGCAAAATAAGCTTTAGCTTATTATTTGGTATATATAATAGCTGTAAAGTACTAAAAATATTCTCACTGACACTGACACTTTTCGTTTGTGTGACGGATGTCTTGGAACGCACTCTACGAATATGAAGTTTGTATTTTTTTTGCAGATCTTCATGCCGCATTATATTCAGGAAGTTCCAACTTCCAAAATGATATTAAAAATATGATTTAACTTCAAATAAGATGACGTCATTTGTACTTAAGATTCGAATGTGATTGCCGAAAAGACGAATTTGCCGTTACAAAAATTAAACTAAAATTCAATTTAGCCGACGATTTACTCGAAAATGTGATGCGTATCTTATTGTGGATTACTTAAATGAAAACGCGTTTTCATTTAAAAATCGTTGCTTGGTGAGCGTTTTCTCGAAGGTTCGTCGACTAAAAAATTTACATAATCGCCCGATCGTATTGCCTCCAAAATTCCAAGGAGGAATTATTCAGCGGCTTAAAAAAAGCTGCACAGAAAAAGCGGAAAGAAGAAACGGAGAAGGCGAGGAAACGACAAAAAGACAATAACAATGAATTTAGCGCGACGAAACCTTGGCGAATAATGAGAAAATATAATTTAAATATAAATAGAAATTACCTGAAAACATGATTTGAAACGTCCAAGTACAAACACGGTCATAGGCTGAAACTTATTATAAACTTTTTATAATTAAATTAAAAATATTCCTGGTACTGCGAAAAACGAAAAACGCGGGGTATTCGCTTTAATTAAATTGGGAAGCAATTTTAATAGCAAAGTCTCGAAATTTATTTACTCTAGGATACGGTGCTCGTAGTTAAGAACAGTCCCGGTAATCAACGAGTTTAATTAAGACTACCACAATCCTCGTGGATCGAAATTCCAGGGACCATAAAAATATAAATAGTTATAAGGAGAGTTCACATTTATGTTTATAAGAGTAAAAAGGTGCAACAAAACTTGACATCCACGTTCCACTCTTTTCATGGATTTGTTTCGCGGCCCGCGTCATCGAACGCCACTTCCAAAGAAGGAAGAAGGACGCAGGACAGACGGAGAAAGACATAAATCCCGGGAGACATAGATTAGGGGATCAGCCGAGATGGTGCGCGAGATTAATGATGAGATGATTCTGCCCCCATTTCGACAGCGGAAATCTCCGTTAAACAAATCCACATAACTTTCATGACAAAAAACATTGGGGAGCTACATAACACAATAACAACAAGAAACCCGAAGTGAGAGTCGCATACCCCTAAATTGTGAAAATTAATTCAAAAAATTCAAAATATTTACACTTCTCTCTTGCAACTGCTAAACAAAATGTTTAACTATTATTTAACAATATATTAATTGCATCTGATCCTGTTAAAACATTCAACTATTGGGAAATAGGGTTGAACCTCCTTTCCAAAAAAACAGTTTACAAAATCTGCGTCATACCATTAATAAACTTATTTCTAATTTTCAGATTTATGAAGACGTTATTCAATACAATATGGTAATTGTATCGTAATGGCAAAACTAATGAAAATAAAATTGTCAAGTGAATATTTTACAAACAACAAATTACCTTAAAACGTTTTTCTTGCTAAATAAATAAACTTTATACAACACATTTGAACCAATTAAAATATTGAGTAAAATATCTTATTCATGTTTGAATAATAATCGATAAAAAGGAAACAAATTAATTAAATTCAATTAATTTTATATAAAAATAATGTTTACGGTTCACATTCCGTACTGTTTTACCAACAAGGTGAAAATTCTTAATATTACTAACAAAACTTAGTTTACTAAAACAACGGCAGTTTGTTTCAATAATGAAGAAAAAATATATTAATAGAAAATTAAAAACTGTACAATGTTAATTACTACAGAAAAGGGAAGATCAAAAAGAGAAAGAATAGATCTTATATGTTGTTTCCACTTAAGCAAAATGTAAAAATAAATCAATCATTGAACTTCTAACAGAGATTTCTTTAGCTTCTTTTGAAATATAAAAAACGAGTCAGTTAAAACAAATGATAGTGCGTTTATCTGATGACAAATAACAATATTCTGAAAAAAATAGTTTTTATGTTTAGGTAATGTTCATGTACCTTTGTGCAAATTTTGAAGTTGAACATCAGTTCGAAAGGAAATTTTGTTACATAAATAAGAAGGAGGAGATTGGAATTAATCTTATAAATAAATCTATTTCATGAATTCTGCATCTTCCGAGTTCTTTAGGAGTCTGTACACTATGCCACAATTATGTGGTAAATGTGATAAAACAAGAGAGTCGCAAAGCTCTTTTGTGATATGCATTTCATCCTAGATAGTGCCCATGAGATATATTACATTTAAAGCAAAATAACATTTTTTAAAAATATATGATATATGGGTGTAAATCCTAAGTTGTGAATTAATGCCTAAACTTTCAACCTCGAGGAATAGGTTATTTAATAGCTATGACGACAGTACAAACATTTCGTTAAAAATATGTTCTTCATTTGCGGCCATTTTAAAGATTGGGGACATTTAACATTTCACTTCGAAACATTAACTTTACTATAGAAGGAATTTAGCTAAACATTTTACAAAAGTTTCGGAATTCATAAAAACCAAAAAAAAAGTAGATATCCCGCATAGTTTTATCTTAGGGCAAAATGAAACACCCAGACCGAAACCAAACCCATTCATCGCGTCCAGTAATATATGGTTATTTGATCCGGGAAAAAGTAAAAAATCACCACCCGAAGCAGAAGCTCCTCTTTTACATTTCTTTACATTTCCTTTTATCAAACTTTATCATCGGGCCTTTTTTCCTCTGCGTGGAAGCGTTTGGTTTCCGAGGCCGCATATTTTAAGACGCAAGGATCATAAATCTATCTCGGCCGATCTCATTCATCATGCTACGAATGGTATAGCAGGTAATTTTGGGGCTGGAGGAAATAAAAGTTGATACTGAAAGCGCCACAGGCGTTCCCTATGGCAGATAATAATGACGGAAAGAAGGTACAATTATTGTCGCAGTCGCCTGTGCTAAATCGTTTTGCATTCTGCGCTGAGAACTGCGACATAGAAAGAGAAATGTAAAGAGTTCCCGTGGTGTAATTAATTTGCTAGCTAGGAGTATTGGGGATATAATGTCCCCTAAGGCGCAACGCCTATTTTTTATTAATAGATTTCAAGTAAAGTTTTCGGCAAGGGATTGCTGTTTGATATTATTAAATTATTTGAAGTCCACTTGAAAAATGGAGGTTTATTGAAATTTAAGTTGCTACTTTATTCGAATTCAATTGTGCGTAACTTTTTATATAACACAAACAGAATTACTTTACTTTTTGATAATCAGAGCTTTTTATAGAACACGTTTTATTACAGGATAGCCAGTATAGTCTCTTTATATACTCTATCAACTATTTCTAATATTTCTTTATAGTGAAGTCAGATTATTAGCTCGCACTTGATTACGATTACTTTAAAGAAATGCCCCTTTGGCTAAGAAAATTCTAAAATCTTTAAAAATCTAATCAAAATAATTTTAAATTATGTAAAAAAAATACAACAGCGTAAAATCACTTTGAGGATGACCATTAAAAATTCTTCGTTCTTTTTAAATTGTTTTTAAAGTTAATAGAGTCTTATAAAACAAAGTTAACTAATTTTATAATTAACTAGTAAGAACTAATTAAAAGGTAAGTTCGTAGATGATTTGAGTTTTAAGGTAATTTATATTTACTGAGTTTTCAATGGATGAACGATGCTTATTGCAACAAAAGAAGTAAATTTATTTTTTTGAAAAAATATATTAATTTGGATCTCATTTTAAATGGGTATCATATGTTTGGATGTTTTGAATTAGATTAGCCGGAACAAGACCATCAATCAACAAAGCAACAATAAAAAAAATATACGGGGTATAAATAAATTATAAATAATTAAATTAGTAATTAATTAAATAAATAAGTATTGTTAAAATAAATATTGACATTAAATTAGTCGCGAAAAGTTTCGATTATTTATCTTTGCAGTGAATTTTATACAAAAATTATATTAAGATATAGTTTTTAAATTTTGGATAAGTTATCAAATAAAAACGATACACGAAA